AAAAGAAAAATGCAAGAATAAACAGGGAAGGGCCAGGGATTTAGCTCAGTGGTTCCACTGCCTGCCTTGCAAGCGCAAGATCCCAATTTTGATCCCCGGTTCCTAAATAAATAGGGATTCTACTCATGAAAAACTCTGCTTGAATGAAATTTCCACATGCAGGCAATGCACTCTACTCACGTAGAAAGACTCTAGCAGGCATGGTTGTTATAGTAAAGTCGCTGATGAACTATTGCCAGAAATGAATTTTTTGCTTTTCTTCTTGCTTAATTCCTAGATGTCATGAACACTTGTTGACAACGCCCCTTTCCTTTAACTGCAGGTGAATTTTACCCCTTCCTGCTTTTTCCTCACTCCTGGACCACACCATTGTCTCTATCCTTTGCCCTTCTTTTACCACTTAAGAGCAGTGTTTCCCAAGGATGCCCTTGAGCCCCATTTCCATTCCATTCTCCATGTTACCCTTGGTGAACCTTACCAAGCATCTGGTTTTAACCTTTGTCTGTATATTGATGGGTACCTGTCTGTTCCCCATGCTCCCTGTCAGTTCCTTTTTCTTCCTCCAGACCTGTGCATCCAGTTCCCTGCCAGATGCCCTCTCTCCAATGTCTCGCTGTTATCTTTTCTCAGCCCATTCTCAGTCCAGTTTCCATAGGAATCTTCTAAAACACCTCTGACTGTATGAGGGCAACCATTACACCCTAGCCCAATCGGACCAGCTCTGCCTGTTTTTAAGAAAACATCAACAAATTTGGAAATTTTCCATATAAGAGAAAAGTGACATTTCCTTAAAAAAAATCAGAGTCTTTTCAGGACTTTGTCATAAGGTGGTCAGGGAGCCTCCAGGTTACATAAGGTTTCCAGGTACCCTTCCTGGGGCCTTGCAGAGGGTTGTGAAGAATCTGTGGTGGAACATAATGGGATTCATAAAGCCACCTAACAGGGCTCACACAGCCACAGTGTGCCTAGTTTGTTGAAAATGGAAGGGCAAGTGAGGGGACCTACATGGATGTGGCAGGCCCTATCCCTTCCCTCTGGACCCCTCTGCACTGTGACTGATCAAGAAGGCCAGTGACTGTCAAGAAGGCCAGTGTCTGTCTGAACAGACAGTAAAATGCCAGTAAAGCTTACTTCCAGGTTGTATGAGGAAAAACAGAAATCGAAGGTTTAATATTTTCTCCTCCCCGTGGTTTACCCTGTGGCCCCCCTCCACCCCCATCTTAAAGATCCCAGCCCTGAAATCTCACAGGTGGGAACTAGACTTTTTATTTTCAGATCCTCAGCTACCTCTGTGTCTGCCCCAACAGGCACTCAAGAAATGTCATATGAATGAGTATTTTCACTAAAGTTTCTTGAATTCCTTTTAGTCTCTTTAGTTATTTTAATTTTAAAAGCACAACTTTGCTGGAGAAAAGTAATTGTTCATTTTTAAAAGTAAGGTTCTTCATTTTCAACTTCATTTTCTTAACTGTGCTGGTAATATTCAAAGGATATAGAAACAGATTTCATAGATCTCAGGTAATAAAAACCACAATTCTTAAAAAAAAAAAAAAAAAAAAAACTTTCAACTTTTTTTCATACCCGAGACTCCTGTATCCTTTAAAAACTGATAGTAGAAGATAAAGGCTGTCTTGTAACCAGGAGGGTAGAGCTATCCTTGTTCTAGTCAAAATCTTTTTAAATGCATAGTATTTGGTAAAGACAAAAGTGCAACATTTCCTACCACTTGCCAAATCACTTGTGTCCTCGGGTCCCTTTCTCTCCATACTCTGATGCTTGCCCCTCCCTTTAAAAATCTCTGTTTTGGAGAAAAATAGTTTAGTTTCCATGTTATCTGGATGCTGCCCCCACCCCCCAATCCCCCAGGCTCCACATCAGTGTGTGCGGAACTGTGGTGTCTCACTATTGTTTTAACATTTGGTCCTCTGCCTGGGGAGTGGGTGGTTCACTTTAAGCTACCCTACTCCAGTCTCCACCGAGAAAGCAATATTTTGTTATGAGGTAAAGTTTCAAGCCAAGCTCTGGCCAGGGCCTTTCCCATGTGAAAAGAGGAAAGCAGGAACAGCCAGTGAGACGATAATTCTCCTTGAATTTGAGCTCATTAAAATCTTCCCTCATCCTCAGTGGGTTGTTTATTGATTTAAGCATCTAGCACTTTTCCTTTCCAGAAAGAATTAGCATCTACGATGTGATCATTGCTGAGGAAGGAAGTTTTTGCCTTTTCTCTGTGGGATTAAGTGTCCCCCAGTTGCTTATTAGCACAACCAACTTTAGAGGTGTGTGTAGGTACAGAGTTTAGGGGCCAGAGTGAGATTCCCGGGGTTTATAGGTAACGAAAAGAGCAGGTCGTATCAAAGGCACCACTTGTGGAAACCTAAGTGTTCTTAGGGGACTTGTGTGAACCTGTGATCCTTGGGGTTTTTTCTAAAATGAGCATTTCAGCATTGTTCATATGGACCTCCTTTTCATAGATGTTTTAACATGTTCTGATTCTGTTGCTGTTGTGCATGAAAATCTAGCAAAATGGTGTTTCTTATCTGCTGATCTGCAGCAAACCTTGAACATTTGCGTTTCTTTTGAGGATTACTGTGGTTGAATTTATGGCAGTCACTTATGTATGTAAATGAGGAAATACAGTTTTTAAACAGATGTTTAAAATCCTTTTGCCGCCAGAACACTCTCTCCCTCTACATACAAAATCACCCACAAGTCTAGCTGCTTTTCAGATCTATCTGTAGAGATCATGTATAGCCGGAATGGGCCAGATTGCTGGGGATATTAATTGCACACTTAGTGTAGTTTTTGGCCCGATAGCGTAGAAAAAGTACAGTTATTTAGGCAGATGTTTGGGTAGGAATTTCTCTTTTCAATGTGATTAATCCACAGATTCAGTGTGACACCATTTCCGTGTGTTTTTCTACTTCTGATGCCATAATAAATGAAAGCGTTGAAAAGCGGTAGTGCTCTTCCCTATTGGGATGACAAATTGATCGAATATTTCCTGGGTGTTACCTTTTAAAAGTTGGCTTTATTGGCCCTATGAAAAGCTATGGATTTAAGCTGTCATCCTGCTACCCCATCCGTCAGGGGAGCATGGGGCTGTCCTTGACCTTGGGTTCTTCGTTCATAAACCAAGTAGTACTGTTGTGGGTCTGCACCCCATCTCTTGCTCGGAGATTCCTAAAGCATATCAGAGGATACATATGCCCCTGCCCAGTGTTCAGAATTCAGGCGCACAAGCCAGTCTGCTCTTCCCTGAATATTCAGGGAGCAGCCTACCCAAGCTGAGAATGTAGAGAATATTTGTTGCCAGCTGGGAGGTGGTGGTAATGTGGTGGGGGTGTTTTAGGATTTTATCTTCTGCTCCTCGGTTTGAACCTGCAGACTGCAGGCAGTTGGGCAGTGAAATGGGGAAAGGGCCAGCTGTATTGAAGAGCGCAAGACAGGCAGCTTTCTTTGTCCTCTCCCTTTACGATATCTCCAAGATTGGGTGCACTGGGAAAAACAGAACACGCTGCAGAAGTACTTCTACCCCAGAAGCTGCAGTTTTCTACTCTGCTACATGAGCATAGTACCTGGAGTCACACCTGACCTGTGCAGTTGCTCCTGTCTTCTGCATGGGTCTGATATCCCTTGTGTGACTTTCCCTCTACTCGTGGGCCCACTTTGAAATCATTGGTGGCTCAGTGATGCCTAGACAGGTGGTCATTCTTGTAAGGTCAGACCCAACCTCTTAGCTCTAGAGGTAACCAGGCAAGCCTGTGCAGTGTGCTGGTATCAAAATACAAGCAGGATGGATTTGCCCGATGTGTTTTGCAGTAATGGTTTCATTCTTACCTCTTTCTTAGAGGGGAAAATAAGCAGTTGGACAAGAGGTCAACCAAGGCCTCAAGGAAAATGAGTTTTCATGCTCCAGCTCCTGCTGGTCCTTCCCTGGGTGTAACAGAAGTGCCATGTGGGTCTCGTTTTAACGATGCTTCACCACAGCCTGTTTTCTCTCAGGCCACTTCATGAATCAGGATGTCACCCACATGCACTGTCTTCCCCATCTCTTGTGGCCATCAGTCAAGGTCCTGACCTTTTTCTTTATCATATACATTTGGTGGTGAAAATGTATACAAATGCTAATAAAAAAAGATATGGAGGGCTGGGGATTTAGCTCAGTGGTTCTGCCCCCTGCCCTGGAAGCACAAGGACCCTAGTTCGATCTCCAGTACCAAAAGAAAAAAAATGTGGTGTGTGTTTAAGTTAAAAAAAAAAAAAAAAAAAATTACAGAAAAGACATATTGCCAACCCCCCTAAAAATACTCTCCTTTGCTTCAACACACTTATCCCATTGCTCTTGGCACTTTCTGAAGCAGTTCTGAAAGTCCTCTTTCATGAGTGTATTTCTGAGGCGTGACCAAAAATACGGTGAATGCTGCTGCTGAGTGCCATCCAATGGAAAGGCATTCTAAAAACATTACAGTGTGTCCTCATCTATCTTATCTTATTCATCGGATCTGGCAGTATGTGACTTCTGGCTGTTCTCCAAAGTCAAAATGACCATGAAAGGTAGACATTTTGTATCAGTTTAGGACATTGAAGCAACCAAAACCACAGTAACTAAAGAAACTCATGCTTCATAAAGTGGTAGGAAGATGGGATAAGTAAGTGTGTTTGAAGCAAGGGGGAATATTATCAGGGGAGTTAATGCCAATGTATCTTACTGTAATAAATTTTTAAATATAAACACCGTGTATTTTGATCACACCTCATATATCCTGAAGACAATTTTAAGGTTTCATTCTTTTCCTTTTAGGATGCCTTAGTTATATTGTGTTTGTACTTACACATGCTTGAAAGGAGACAAGTGATTCCATCCATGTCTTCAGTTTGGAACAAAACTGGATTAATGATATTGCCTGTCAGTTACACTGGTTATCTGACATCAGTAGTTAGTTGGTCATATCTTTTTGCTACAGATTAAAATGTGTGTGGGGTTTTTTTTTCCCTTTTAGCTTCATGAGGCTGACATTGTGATCTTAGGCTCACCTAAACCAGAAGAGATTCCCCTTACGTGGATCCAGCCAGGAACCACTGTTCTCAACTGCTTCCATGACTTGCTATCAGGTAAATAAATGCCTTAATGTTGGTGAGGGGCACTGACTAAGACAGGTAAAATTGTTAGGAGAAATGGTAAACTTGGTCATTCAGAACAGAGTGTGTTCTGAGATGCTGGATGTCAATGTGAGCATGTATGATAGGAGACGTAGACTGCTGGGCTTATCTTGGCCGAGGGAAGCTAAGATGTCATTGGGGAACCTGCCTCCCCCGCCATGTCAACACATCCTTCTGCTGGCCTCTAGCATCTGACAGTTGAGTCAATTGTGACCTAAAGGAGACAGTTTGTATTTGTGTAGAGTAAACTAGAAATACTGGTTTTCACAGTCTTTAAAAAAAAATAGGTAGAATCCTTTCTTTTAGAGAAGTTTTAGCTGAAATTCTGTGTAAAGCAGAGTTGTTGGGAGGGGTGGGAATGAAGTCCCACCTTGGGTCTCCCACATTTCCCCTCACAATGACTCCTGAGGTACTTCCTCAATGCCCCCAGGTCACCTCCAAACACTATGAAAAGCATCAGTAGAAACAGAAGGGGTTTTAGGGTTGCTGTTGTGGGATAGCATCTCACCAAGGGATTCAGGGATGTCGTGGACCATGCCAGGCCCACCACTGCAATCCCTGTCACAGAAGGTGCTAGAGACAGCGCCAGAGGGGGTGCCAAGGAGCCCTCTTTCCTGATACCTTTGGCTTTGACCTACAAACTTCAGTGTGGAGAAGACTGAGCTGGGATAAGGGTGGGAAGCAGCCTTTGGTCCAGTCCCCAAGCTAGGTGAAGCTGCACTACACAGAGAAGGCCACTTGTTCTTTCACCTCCCCCAACGCCAAGGTGGACTGTGAGGCCTTGAAACCTTTGAGGCAAGCCCAGGAAGAGTAAGCCACACCCAAGGGCTGGCACTGCCACTCCCCCTGGGAAACCCAGGAACAGATCAGTTCCCCGGTGAACCCCCAGAACTGAGGAGTGTGGCTGGGTTGCAGGGACCCACTTGTCAGGTGTGCTTTGAGAGCACTCAGATGGATGAAGCAGAGGTGCGGTCAGGTGTGGATGTGGGCTTCAGGGCTCTTTCTAACAAGAGCAGTGCATGCGCCACGTAACTTCTTTAAACTGTGAGATTCTACATATAACTTAACATTTTGCTTCTGAGGTAAAAAAGAGATCTAAACTAGATCTCTTGGGCAGATTGCTTCCTGTGCTCAGCATCCTAGTGAGATTAGGAAAGTCAGTTTGGGAATTGTATTTCTTTTAAATGATGTTTCTTTGGTATAATATTTACTTGTTTGTTGAGATTTTTAAAATAAGGGTTTATATTTACAACAGTTTTGAGACAGTCCTGGCTGGAGACAGAAAAACCTACTTCAGTGTTTTCTTAAAATTTCTCCAAGCTCTGTTATGATATGAAAGTGACATATTTTAGTAAAGCTGTCTTACTTCTAATAATGTTTCCTTTTAGCTCCCTTATTTTTGAAAAAGGTATTCCTGAAAACAGGAGGGAGGTTTCAGTGTCACAGAGCTCTTGGGAAAGGCGTAAAAGACAAAAGCGTTGCATGTTCATTTGATGATTCTATAAAGTGGATGAATTATAGTTAGTTTATTTTAAATTCTGGTCCTGTTGTAGTAGTTTTCTTGTTCATTTTTGAATGCTCAGCCCCCAAACATGCCTGACACATCATAGCAGTCAGTGAATACTGAGTCAGCAAGGTTTTTTTTTTATACCGGGGATCAAACTCAGGACCTTGTGCTTGCGAGGCAGGCACGGTGCCACTGAGCTAAGTCCCGGGCCCAGTCAGCAAGTATTTGACTCCACCAGAATAACACTGGTTGTAGTGTCTGCGGGCTGCACTTTGAGAAGCGTTCCCTGATACGATAAGGTGATGTCCCAGGAATTGTGCTCAGAAAAGTTACATATTACCTGCTGGATCTCTTCATCCCACTATGGCTAAGTTGAAGATGTAGATTTTATTTATTTATTTTTTTTTGGTGTTTAGGTTTTTGAGCCAAGTTCTCACTATGTAGCCTAGGCTGCCCTTGAACTTACGGTGAGCTTCCTGCCTCAGCCTCCCAAGTGGTGGAATTACAAGTGGGCACCACCACATCCAGCAAAGTTGTAGATTTGATTTGATTTGGCTTGGTTTGGTTTGATTTATTATTTTGAGACAGGGTCTCACTGTACAGTTCAGCTGGCTTTGAACTCACTATGTTACTCAGACTGACCTCGAACTCATTTTAATCCTCCTGCCTCAGCCTCCCAAGTAGTGGGATTACAGGTGTGTGCCACCACACCTGGCCAAAGTTGTAGATTTTAAAACAGGGAGATGTCAGTATTCTCTAGTTAGAAGACTAATTACATTTTATATAATATTTTACATAAAAGAAGTATGCTGTGTTCTAGTAACAAATTGCTTGCTAAGGAGCAGAAGTGACCCTAAGCAAGACCATTTTGTACTTCAAGAATTGTCTTCCAAGCACTGTTCATTATAGCATTGCAATTCTAAATAATCAAAGTTTTTATTTTAGCAGCTTTGATTGCTATGAAAATTTACCCTCTGAGTTAAGTTACAGAAAGATTTTCTTCCCCTCCTATCTTCATAATCTTGCCATTGTAAACAAATGAGTAGATTTTTCAAAACGTTATTAAAAAGAGAAGTGCTTTTGTTTAAACTTTAGACCAGAAGAAGAATGTTTAATACACTGTGGCTGGGTGAAGGCAGGCTGTGTAATGAAATTTTCATTCTCACCGTACTGGTGCGGGCTCCCTTCCCGTAAAAGGAGACAGGATGTGGTGATTTACAGTGAGCTCATTCCGAAGAGGTGTGCTATTAAATACCTAGTCCTTGAGGAGATTTTCCTGATGGCTGATGTCCCAGAAGTCGAGCTCGGAAAACAATTACACCAAACCTGCTGGGGCTGTTCACTCCGCTGTCGCATGAGTTCAGAGTGTAGATTTGGAAGCAGGGAAACCTCAGTGCTCTGTTTTCCAGCTATAAGAGTAACAGCATTTTTCTGTTATTAAACAGTTATTTTAAATGAAAGAAATGCGCTGTGATCTTGTCATAGCTTGCTTGCTAGAGAGCAGAATTTGCCCCAAGACTGTTTATGGTGCAGATATGGGACCTGATGTCCTGAATGGGACAAAGAGGCTGCTCTTGGGCTTCAAGCCCACAGAACAGTGTCAGAATAACGAGCCATGTCTCAGAGCAGCCTACAGCACCATTTTCAGCTAACTTTGCTCTGTTTACTCTGGGGTGGGGGACGAACCTTGGGCTGCATCCAGGGCTCATGATAATGAATCAGCGGATCGATCCTGGGGGCCTTGGTGGTCCCCTCCAGTGCCTCTGAAGGGAGATAGTGCAGTGCAGAGGGCATGGATGTTGGAGTTAGGTTTTCCTAACTCAAAACGAGGGGACTGGTTTTTTTTTAAACTCTTAATTATATTTCACTTATACGCTATGTGACTTTAAGGAAACCACTTAAGCTCTCTGATCCCCAATTTTATCGCGAATGAAATGAGAGAGAGGCTGTTGTGAAGAGCAAATGAGATGCTAGCCCAGGTGCAGTGCCTCTTGGTAGAGGCCGCCAGATCTGCTCACCACTCCCCTGGCCCCGCTTCATTGTTGCTACATCTCCAGCACACAGCAGAAAATATATGTGTACTTGAAAATCAGGCCCAGGGAAGGAAGAGGCCTAGTGAATCCTGAAAATGGAAGAAAGCAGCTTTAGGAATTTTGGACTGTAATCATCCTCATGCATTTTGAATACACAAAGGAAGTTTGCTTATGATTTTTTAATTTTAGTTATTCTAAAACCCATTGCATTTTTACAGCTTTTCTTTATTCCCCTAGAAATTCTGGATGTTTTATTATTGGTTTTCCTTTTCCCCCCCTGGAAGTTCCGGTTGTTTTAATTAGGTCTCATATGTATACATATGCAATATATGCATCCCCAGTGCTGAGGATTAAATCAGAAACCTGAAACCTGCTTGGCAAGTGCTGTGCCACCAAACCATATCCCCAGGCCTGACTTTTTACTTTTATGCAGCTGTGTGTTAATTCCTTTATAATTTGGCTTCATCACTTCTCGGCCTTTTGGCTAAGATCAAGTGTAGTATAATTTGGCTTCAGTGGTTCCAAAAGCCTGCTTGTATAAGTTGATAATATTGTTATGATGCATTCCTAAGGGTGATGTTAGCGCTTGTTTGATGGTGGGGTTCAAATGATTTAAACTAGGAGGGCAGCTCTTGAGAGCACCATCACAAAGTTAAACTAAGTGATTTGTACTAAATTCATTTATTGCATGTTACTTTTTTTTAAAATTTTTTTTGGTGCTTTTGAAAGAGGGTCTCACTGTGTATTCCAGGTTGCCTCAAACTCACAAGGATCCACCTGCCTCAGCCTCCTGAGTGCTGGGATGACAGGCATGCACCACCATACCTGGCTTTTGCATGTTACTTTTTTATCCTACAGAGTCAATATTAACTGCAAAATCAATCACCAGTGTTTCTAAAAATAGTTTTATCTGCACTGATTTCTAATTTTTTTTTGTTCTTCCTGATTTTGAAACCTCACATAAAGCTTTCGGAGTAACTTCCCCTTCCAGTGGGAGGAGGCATTTGGGTGCTGGCTCCTGGGTGTTTGCAGTAAAAAGGCTGCCTTCGGCCGGACTGCAGGAAAGCCCAGCCTGGTCAGGATAGCAGAGGGGCCGGAAGAGGACGAAGTCTGCCTTGGCCCCTCCGAAATCACTTACTCTTCTGGAACATTTCCCAGGGTGGTCTCAAAACAGCTCATGTCGGGGAAGGGGCTTCCTGACTTCTGGAACAGCATGATACAACCCATTAGCCTTAAAGTTTCTTATTTCAGAAATTTTCAGTATCATAAAAAAATTTATAAATGAAAGGCCAGCTTTTAAAGTGCTTCATTGGCTTGTCCCTGGAGGAACTGTGAATTAGATGTGAGTGCTCAGTGGGAAGTGAGAAGACCCATCTGTAGGCTGGGGCAGGGCTGCTGCTGCTCAAGCTCCAGTCCTGGGACTTCTTCCAGGCCCAGACCGCGGACAGCCTCCAGGTGGAGCTGCCTCACACAGGCTGGCGTGAAATGACGTGAAATAATGATTTCCTTTTCAAGTCCCTTTTGCCTTGAAATTTACTAAGTATGTATACCTGATTCACTGAGTTTACTGACTTATTGCCTTGTATTGTCTGGGTTCAGAAATTTTAATTCAGTTTCAAGATTGAAGGCTGAGATATGAGAATCCCAAGTTCAGTTAGCTTTAACTTAGCAAGACTCTTTCTCAAAGAATAAAAAAAGTAAAAAATTTTTTTAAATTGCATTGATTCCTACCACAAAAGCAGTACAATGTTTGTGGTAGGAAATTTGCAAAGCATAGAAGAGTTTATAGGAATATATAAAAATAACTCCTTTCCTGCTGGGCATGATAGTGCACACCTGTATTCCCAGCACTCCGGAGGCTGAGGCAGGAGGATCACTATGAGTTCGAGGCCAGCCTGGGCTACATACTGAGTTCAAGACCAGTCCAAATTACATAGCAAGACTCTGTCTCAAAAAACAAAACAAAACAAAAAACTCCTCTCCAGACATGGTGGCGCTTGCCTGTAATCCCAGCTACTTGGGCAACTGAGGCAGGAAGACAAGTTTGAGACCAGCCTAGTAACTAAACAAGACCCTGCCACAAAATAAAAATTTTAGGGGGGAGCAACTTGAGACAGGGTCTCGCTTGTCATTCAGGCTGGTCTTGAACTCACAGTGATCCTCTTGCCTGGGCCTCCGGAGTACTGGGACTACAGGAGCGTGCCACCACACCCAGCTCAAAATAAAATTTAAAGGTCTGGAATGTAGGTCAGTGTTTTGTAATGCACTTTCCTAGTATGCATGAGACCCGGGTTCAATCCTCACTACTAGTGAAAAAAATTTAAAATTAATTTTTTAAAACTCCTGATCTTGAGATAACTATTTTATATTGTTCCATAAAAAAGCATTAAGCTGGATTTTATTTTAATGTAATAGAAGGAAAAGAAAATATAGTAAAAGCATGACTAAAACTTAGATAACTGGGGCCAGGGATTTAGCTCAGTGGTGCCACTGCCTGCCTTGCAAGCACAGGGTCCAGAGTTTGATCCCCGGTACCAAAAAAAAAAAAAACTTAGATAACTGCTTTTTCAAGAAAAAATATTGGCTCCTATTGGGATGTGGTATACTTTATCTAGATAAATAGATAGATAGATAGATATTTAAGAGATTGTGGATTTTCTCATATGCTTTTAAGTATTTGGGGTTTTTTTGTTTGTTTGGGGTTTTTTTTTTTTGGTACCGGGCATCGAACTCGGGACCTTTTGCTTATGAGGCAGGCAGCGAAATCACTGAAATCCTTGGCCCTATATGTTGTTTTTAATAGGGCAGAAGTTAAGTTTGCAGGTAACAAAGCTTAGTCCACCATGCATTGAAATGAGAAAGCAGCACCATGTGAACAGAGTCAGCGCTCCTGGCTTTTGGCAACATCCTCCGGTGTCCCGAGGACTGTACTCTGTCCCCATTTTCTCGTATTTACTGATGTTGAGCTTTGAGCTTAGCCAGGGCTCATCAGTTTTTATAGTTTTAGTCACAAGCTTCTGTATTTCAGAATATAGATTCCTCCACGCTGGTTTCCCACCAATCAGGTCATAATTACTGCTTTCTTGCGCTGGCACATCTCTCACGGTTTTCTGGTGCATTCCCAGTGCCTACTCTGGATTGATTTTCTTTCAGTCACTTTGGGTTGAAAGGAGAAAGGAGTGTTGCGTCTGCTGCCTGCTGCCTTGAGCTGGAAGCCTTGCAAGAGTTTTTGTCTTGTTCATGCCTACTCCTTACATGGCTTATCACACTTACTGGAATCATTTCCAAGATAGTTTAAATATACCTACATTCATACAGTTTTTCAAAAATAGCATAATTCTCCCTTTTGCTAAGACCTATGTTATACAAGTGCCTGTAATTACAGGAAGAATTATTTACTATAACTATGTGGGTGAAATATTCTTCACTCACAGAGATATTTGTGATTATATTTAAAATTGCCACCAGCTCCTGGAATGTTACTTTGCTTTATTTCTCTTCTCCATCAGTTAAAGATGGAAGAATGACACAGTTCCAGTCAGCAGAGAGGCTGAGGCAGAAGGATCACAATTTCAACGCCAGTCTGAACAACTTAGTGAGACTGTCTCAAAATTCAAAAAATAAAAAGAGCTGTAGATACAGCTCAGCGATTCTTAGGTCCAATCCCTAGTGCTAGAAAAAAAGAATAAAGAAGAAGAAGGTTAGACATGTATTTCTTTTCTGAAGTAGTTGGACAGGATTTTAAGATCAGATCTCTAGTGGTTAAAACAAAACAAAACATCTCTCTCATCCTCTAACTCTTTCCTTTTGCCCAGATATGATTTATAAAACTGAAATGTTGCTAATCTTTAAACAGTACCTGGGGGAATATGATTTTCCAACACCCTTAATACATTTGACAATAGGACATCACAAAACATATACACTTAAGTGTTTTGTGTGCTTTCTTGCAAAGGACTGTCAGCAACATGGATAATTTAGAGTAGCATGATCCAGAGGAAGAAAAAATTATTTCTTAATTCAAAAAAGTTACTGTTAGGAACATTGCCTTCCCTTAAGGAAGGATGTAGGCTAAAGCATTTTGCGTGTAAATTTTGCTTTTCATAAATTTTATAAGTGCTAATAGAGGAGGGGAAATTGGGATTATTATCAGTGCCTTTCCATTTTGAAAACCAGATGTATTCACTTTTTGTTACTCTGAAAAAATACCTGAAAATCAACTTAAAAGGAGGAAAGATTTATTTTGACTCATGATTTCTGCAATTTCAGTCCATGCTTCCTTCACTGTTGCTTTGGGCCTGGGGCAGCACAGTACACCATGGGGCAGTGCACAGTGGAGGAGACCTGTTCATGACAGCCAGAAAGCCCAGGTGGAGTCTCTGTCCCCATCAAGGGTACCCCCCCAGTGACCTGACTTCCCCCAGGCCCTCCTTCTCAAAGGTTCCTCTACCTCCCAGTAGTGCCACAGACTGGCACCCAAGCTTCTTACATAAGTCTGGGGAACATTCAAGGTCCAAGATACAGCATAAAGTTCATATCATAAAGTGTAATTTCTTATTTTTGATGGAAAATTGATTATATCACTTCTATGACAGAGATTTTTGAAATCATCAAGGAAAGCCTTCCTTCAGTTTGGCTGGGCTCATCCTGTAAGTGTTTTGACTCCTGTTGCGCCTCATGTTCACAAATGAATTCACTTCTATTCTATGTGTATTGTCCAGGAAAGGTTATAGATCCTTCTAATAAGATGAAGCCCCACTGTGTCAAAAATCCAAAGTTAGATACCAAGTAATTCAACACGTTGTGTTATGGAATACAGTAAGCATATCTGTCCCTTTCTTCCAAGCAGTATTGTCACTCTCATAGTTTAATCGTACACACTGTATACCAAGTGTTTTACCCACCACATCACATTTTATTTCACAGAATTCTATGCGGTTGCTATTACCCATACTAATTAACAATCACTGGTGGGAGGTGGAGACATGATTTTAATCCAGGTCTAACTCTTAAGCTCTATGCTGGATGTGCAGCCTCCGCTGCCTCACACTGTGTTTCAGATGTTCCCTGTAAACTGCTTTGAGCTGTTCTTGTATATATCTAATAATGCTATGTTTTTTGATACTTGGAGTTCTTTGCTTGGGTCCATGATGATGAACCTTGTAGAGACCAAACTGCAACCCCAAACCCACTTATTTATCCCAAAGTGCCAAGACTACAAATAAACCTGAATGCTGAGGTTTTAGTTTAGAAAAAACAACTATTGGCCGAGGATTTAGCTCAGTGGTTCCAGCACCTGTCTCACAAGCGCAAGGATCCGAGTTTGATCCCTGGTACCAAAAAAAAATCAAAACAAAAAACACAACTATTATTCGATGCTCAACTGCTGGGGTGACTTGGCTCAAGTGCCAACAGAGGCGGCTCTACGTGCCCACTGCAGCACACATGGCATAGGTTTGCCACCACTGACTTAGGTGGACATTTCTGTGATGTAAAATATAAAACAGGACCAGTCAGAGTCTATGCCAGAGGTGACCCACCTGCTGCTGTACTCTGACCTCCTAACTTCCTCAGTGGAAAACTGAGACTGTTACTCTGTGTGCTAGATTTTTACAAGAGCAAATGGTTATAATAATGGCAGAATGCTGAGAGTCTATTTTTGTTTTGCTTTTTTCCTCAAACTCTGTGCAGGAAAGCTTAGCTGCAGTTCTCCCAGGGCCCATCTGAATGGACTTATTGCAGAAGACAACTTGGGTCTCCTCGCTGCAGCTCTTCGGATTCAGGTTTGTTTGACACAGCTTTGAGAATTTTGCATTGAGAGGTCTGATTAATTGTTGCTAACATTTTGCAAGTGTTTCCTCTGTACCAAGTACAGTATTAAGCACTTCACATACCGAGAGTCAAGCCCATTGAGAAATGAAGAAGGAGACATAAAAACTAGTTATTTGCCTCGATGGTTACGTGGCCTATATGGGAGAGAGGCCCAAACCAGGATCTGTGTTTTCATTGTTTATTGCTAGGTAATACGTTAACCCCCAAATATAGCACCTCAGAGCAACAAGCATGTAGTATCTCATAGTTTCTGTGGGTGAGAGACTCAGGAGCAGGTTAGCTGGGTGGTTCTGGCTCAGCATCTCTCTTGTGGTTGCAATCAAGATGTTGGCGAGGGCTGTGGTCACCCAGAGGCTTGGCCAGAACTGGATGGTCCACTCGGCTGTTGGCATGTGATAAAATTCCTCATTGGCTATTAGCAGAATGCCCTGCCTCCTTATCACGTGGACCTTGCCATAAGGCTGCTTGCAGTGTGACAGCTAACTTCCCCCAGAATGGGTGGTCCAAGGTAGAAAGCAACACAGGAGGCCATAGTGTATGTTATGGTCTAGTCTCTGAAATCAGACCCTGCCACTGCCTTTTTTCTTGTTTGTCAGAAACAGGTCAACAAGTCGAGTTCACATTGAAAGGAAAGAGAATTGTGTTTACCTCCTGAAGACAAGATAGTAAGAAAATTGGTAGGCACCTTAGTAAGACATCATCATCTCTGTGACCTAAAGCCCAGGGTCCCCTGCTCGTTGCTGTATCCACTGAGAGTTCTAACAGTGCTGCAGCCCACAGTGATGGTGTCTCTGGCAGTGACAGTGATGAACAATAGAGAAGCCAGAAGCTCCAGTTGCCTCCACAGCAGAGTTAAACAGAAGCAAATTTTAGTTCATTTCTTATGTACAAGAGAATACACAAGATTTTTATGTTTCTGTAAGGATTATAAGTTACATTTCAAATTAAGCCAAATTTTATTTCCATTTATTTTAATTTCTTTGAAATTTATTATATATGTATGCATCTATATAACTACTTGGTAATTCAGTTTGCTTTGTCTTTTTTTATTTTTTTTTGTGGTACTGGGGATCAAACTCAGGACCTTTTGCTTGCGAGGCAGGCACGGTGCCACTGAGATAAGTCCCCAGCCTGCCTTGCTTTTTAATTTCTACCAACAATAGAAGGATTTGAACTGCTGTTGTACATTTTTGAAAATTGGGCACCCCAGCTGATCATGAGTGCTGTCTCATATTTTCCTTAGTTTTCTTTTCCAATTGAGATGAACGGTTTTATCTGTATACTTGATGCCTTTTGTGAACACTTAAGCTATTTTAATGGTGCTTATATCTCACATTTTTCTTTTCAAGCAAAACCCGCAAGCCTAATTATATGTGAATACAATTATTAGTAATATTCTGTTAGTGTATCGTATGCCCCATGATGGTTTTTGTTCTGTAATGCCCATGAACAATATTCCCACAGTTTAAGTGCCCACCCTTCCATTTTTCCCTCTTTAACTTCTGTTTTCCTCGCTCCCTCTTGAAGAACATGGTCAGCAGTGGACGGAGGTGGCTCCGAGAACAGCAGCACAGGAGGTGGAGACTTCACTCCCTGAAACTGCAGCCCCTGTCCCCCGTGCCAAGGTAACTCCAATGCTCTGCTGTACCCGCATCCGCTCCCTAGAGCACCCCAGATCTCCCATTAGTCCCTGGGTGAGGGCAGGACTCAAGGTATTTTGGTTTCAGAAGGAATTAAGTGTTCGTGCTCGCTTCGGCAGCACATATACTAAAAATAGGAATTAAGTGTTCTCTGATCACCATATTGCCACACTATTTTCTCTTATCCTAAGTTCTTCAAAATTAAATCATGATGAACATATTTTGATATTCTATCAATTCTAAGAATTCATATTCTATTTCATTTTATTTCAATGACATGTCCTGTATTGAAGGGCATTCTGTTTTCTTCTTAGTGGTCCAGAAAACAGTGGTTTTAGACTTGACAAAATATGGGAATACAGTATTTAGAATATGCATTCAGAGCTTGAAATGCCCACCACCCGGATCAGCTCGGTCTTAAGGACGAGCAGCTGAATGAATGATCAGCTGAAGCAAGCGTCACCTCACCTGGTAGCTGTGCACAGCTTTCTTCAGAACTCTCTGACAGGATACTCTCTCATAATCCAGACAGACAGTTTCTTCACAGTGGCATTTAATGAGCTGTAAGCTATGTACTCTTTGTATAAATTTAGAACTACACTGTAAGACATAATCTCAATGTGTCATTTAGAACAATTAGGTAGATGTGATTTCTGAGCCAGAGACGTGCACTTCCCAGCCTCCTGATGAATCCTCTCTGTCTGCCCCACCAAAGAGAGTTGACCCAGGCACTTTACCAGGTGTGCGTAATGCTGGAGCATCCTCAGATAATTGTGAGTCAAGTAGATAAACCCTGCTAGAATTGACTAATTTGTCTCTTGATGACCAGGTGTTTTTCAGAGTCGACCTCTGTTCCATTGGGCAGTCAGCCGTCCACTCTGCTTCGATTATGCCCACTAGGCTGGTGCAGTTCTCCTGGGTGTCTTTTCCCCAGCAGTAGACTAAACATCTTAGTCTTGCTCCACTGTGTGCTCATTAATACATAAATTCCAATGAAGAATGTTATTCTTTGTAATATCATCCCTGTATTTGTACCATTTGTTTCATAAACTATTTAATTTTTAAAAATTATTTATGTTATTGGACCTTAGTTTTTAACCAGTAAATCAATAAATTGTGCTTAGAGCTAAAATAAAATTAAGATAGATTGTACCAACTTGTGTACCAAAGACTTAAAATTCTACTTGGGGAGGGGTGTTTTAATCATTTAACCAAATTTGATTTCTAGAGCCACTGAGGAGAGAAAGGCAGGCTGAGTCGTTCATGAATCACTCCAAAAATCAAAATGATGTCATTGTGACTCTTAAGCTAGCAAACAGAAAAGCTTAGAGATTTTCCAAGATTTGGTTCTTGAATAAAATGTGTAACTAGGACAGCAAAATGAAGTAGAATTCTGGCAAGTAAAGGCAACCAAGAGGAGGACTAGAAGACACTGTTCCAGGCAGCCTGGAGGGGATTACCTGGTGGGGAGCCCCAAGCTCAGCCCACACAAAGCCTGAGGGGTGTCTGTCTTCTTCTAGCTTCCGTGGTGCCCTTTCAGACAGTTGAGATGGAGATGTTGTGTCTTGTTCATCAAGATCAGACGCACACACACGTAAACACACACACACACACACACACACACACACACACACACTTCATAGAGAAGAATATAGGGTTATATAAATATAGGTTATATAAATCAACAGCAGTGGCAAAAGAAAAATATCAGAGCAGAGGGGCTGCTTGCCACAGAGGGGGTGGGTGTCCCCTGTGCCACCAGCAGGTCCTCCCGGCAAGTCAGGGAATGGCTGTCCTCTCTGGTGTGCCCCTTAAGAACAGTACTTGGATGCCAGTTCCCTTGTAGTCAAGGCTCCAGGTTAGTCTTGTTGCAGGGCATAATTGTGCCTCCCCTGCCTTGGTCATGGTCATCTTGCAGTGAAATTGAAGACTTAAATTAGATCACTGACCACACTCCAGAGTCCCTAAAATTTCCTCAGTCTAAAGTTGAGCTTCAGGCACTTGAACCAACAGTTATGTAATTAATAAAATATTTTGAAATATGATCTTGGATTGGAAATAGGGAAGAGAAGGGGAAAGTATGGATGGAGATAAAACAGAAGAGCATTTCCACATTTTTGAGTAGCCAAGAGACACATGTGGCTAGCCCACGGGGAGAGTGTTGTGCAGCAGCCCTCCTCTCCATGGTTTCCATGTCCAGCACCCACTCTATAGTGGATTCCCCTTGCATGAGGCCTTTGCACACATTGTAACATACAGCTGTCCTCTCCTTGTGGCACAGGGCATCTCCTTGTGCCTGGACACAACTCTAGGATCTTGGTGAGTTTTTTGGAGTCACATCTCCTAAAAACATGTATCACTTTCTCATGCAAGTTAATTGTTAGCAGTTGTGCTTGATACCGCCCCAAAGAAACGAGACTACAAACCAGTTGCATCCACTTAATCACTGGTGTGATGTATGGCTGTTCCTCACACTAGCAGCGACCACCTAAGCTGAGAAAACTCTGCCTCTTTTGTGTTTCTTTTCTTCCCAGTGATATAGAGATTTCAAGAGCACAGACTCCAAAAGCTGTGGACATCCTTGCCAAGGAGATAGGATTGCTTGCAGATGAAATTGAAATCTATGGCAAAAGCAAGGCCAAAGTACGTTTGTCCCTGCTGGAAAGGCTAAAGGATCAAGCAGATGGAAAATACGTCTTAGTGGCTGGGTAAGACTATGTTCAAAAACACCTACTCGACTAGGAGGACATGTGTAAAACTGCCTTCCATATTTATCTCTGTTGTCAAACCCTCAAATACACCCTGTTTTCAGATTTGACATTTCTTTGTCCATTTTGCTTGGCATTCCTTATTCTGGCATGAGGTAAGTTTTTTTGTTTTTTTCAATACAGAGCAAATTAGTCTCCTCATGAAACACAGTGTAGCAAGTTGCTAATGCAGTTCTTCATTTTCTACTTCTCATATTGTGTTGTGGTTCACTCTTGCATCCCTCTGGGCTTTTAAATCACAAAAATTAAAATAAGAATTGAAAGTACCTTACTTTGAACTGAGCAGGGGTTTTTTGTTGTTGTTTGTTTTTGTGTTCTACTTAGAAACAGTATTTGAAAAAAGAACGTCCAAAAAAAAAAAAAAAGAATGTCCAGATAATTTTGAAATTTGCATTTTCTTATTAGTACCCTTAGTATTTCTCTTTTATATTTACATTATAAAAACTTACTTCTCTTTTCTTACATTTCCAAACTAATGAAGAGCTTTTTTCAGTTGTATTATCAGCTTATGAAAGACAAATACACAGTTTTTATGAAAAGGAATGTTTGCTTTTTTTCTCCCCTCTAAAAAGAAAAACATTCACTAGCTGAAAAGATGATAGAAAACAAGGGATTTGAACTATTTATTCAATGTGACCCAAGGGAACATCAAGAAACCATATAAATTCTTTTGTTGTCTTGAAATGTCATTGCACTGACTGTTGCCTATGATATACGGGCCAAGGCTTGAGGCACAGAAACCTATTGGTTAGGCAGACACATTTCTTGTAACTGGACTTGACTCATAGTTAACTTTGTTTTTACGTAATTATCAGTGTCCATGATTTTTTTTCCTGGTTGTAAAAATAATGCCATCTCATTGTAGAAATATTCCAGAAATACAAAAAAATAAACAAGAAAGTAAAACATCCCAAATTTCATCACCCAGAAAAAATAACTGCTCAGGTTAGGGACCATTGTGACCCTGGGAGACTTAAAGCGGGATAGCACCACGCAGGCTGCTCTGCCTGCAGTGTCACTAAACACAGAGCACTGTGTGCCTTGCTGCATGGGACAGATGTGGGACCATTACTGTGTTCATAACTGGATCACAGACATTGCAGTGCTCACATCCGAGATTTTGAGGGCATGGGGGAGTAAAGATGCCTGGGATGGGCGGAATCACTTTCATACATCTTTTCCGCACCTCTGGGCCACTGCGCAGCACTGCTGTGACCCACAGCTGAGAGAACAGCATGTCTGTAATTCTTCAAGGGGACGGAGGCACAACAATGACTTGAAAATATGATAGGGATGTCATTCTAATTCCAATTTTTGGCCCTTATAAACAGTTCCTAGATTAATGACCTTGGGCATGCATATCTGTGCATTTGTCCAATTGCCTCCTTAGCAAAAATCCCTAGAGGTGAATCCAGTGCGGTGGTCCCTCTCTCTGCCAGGGATTGCTTCCAGGACCCCCAGTGACACCAAAGTCTGCTCATGTTCCACTCTATACAATGGCATAGTGTTTGCATACAACCTATGCACATCCTTTTGTACACTTTAATCATCCCTAGGTAACTTTTAATATCTAATTCAGTATGAATACTATGCATATAGTTGTTACACTGTATTGTTTAAGAAATAATGACCCAAAAAATCTACATGTGCAATACAGACGTAAATTTTTTCTTTTTCCAAATAATTTCTTGGAGCACCCCAGTTGCCTCTAGCTTAAGTCTTCTTCAGACCTCCAAACTAAGTGCACTGGGGTTCCCAACCTAGAAACCTAGCCCAAATGTTCCTATAACTGAGTTGCCAAGGGACTCCATAAGTGGCCCTACCTGCAGGTGCCCTCTGGGCTTTGTCCCTAAAAAAGGGAGTAAGCTACCCAGTAGGAAGGACATGGTCATACCTGGCTCCTGGGTCTTGGGCTCTGTATCCCTTGTCTGTCAGGATCACTTTATAGAAGTATGCTTGATACAGGTTTGTTTGCAATGAATGAATACACTCTTGGACAATGAGGTCTTTAAACGCATCTTATACATAGATTTGTTTCCCTTTTTCCCAGCTGTAAGTGGTCTTGGTGCTACCCAGTAGGAAGGACATGGTCATACCTGGCTCCTGGGTCTTGGGCTCTGTATCCCTTGTCTGTCAGGATCACTTTGTAGAATTATGCTTGATGCAGGTTTGTTTGCAATGAATGAATACACTCTTGGACAATGAGGTCTTTAAACGCATCTTATACATAGATTTGTTTCCCTTTTTCCCAGCTGTAAGTGGTCTTGGTAGATGGGTTTGCTGTTTCCTCACACTAAGAGTGGAGCATTTGGGGCTGATTTGGTGTGGCTCAGTGGTAGAGCGCTTGCTTGGCATGCATAATCCCTGGGTTCAGTCCTCAACACTACCAAAAAATTTTTGTTTTGTTTTAAGATCAGGATTTAGGCAAACACAGGGGGATATGTTCTCTGATTAAAAAGGAAGAGTCATACAGCAGTTTTTCTTATAAGTGGCTGTGATGTACTCTATTTGAAGCTTGCTAAGTTGGAAATAGAAACATAAATCTAGTCATGGCCCTGCCCAGAGTTGAGAATACAGAATTGATACTTCCAAAACAAAAGCTATGATGTTATTAAGTTCCCAGCTTGGAGTAGAAGTCTAAAGACCTGGCCTCCAGCCACATGGTGGGATGCTAGCTAGCATGGCCAACTGGGACTACCCCTAGTGTCAGTCCAGACCCAGTACAGCACTGACACTACCCCTTGGCTGGCATGAATATGGGTGACTGAGCTGAAGCCGGAGTGGCATGCTGGAAATAGAAATGAAAATTAAACCTGAATTCTCAAGTACAGAGTTAACACCAAAAGACCAACAGTTCTTTTTCTAAAATTGTGTCATAAGTTTCCTTCCTTAACAGAGTTTGAAGGAACAAAGTCTAAGTGGTCTTGCTTTCAATTGCATTGAGTACGGCTGGGCAGGGTGGTGTATACTTGTAATCCTAGCTACTCTGAAGGTTATAAAGGAGGATTGTGAGTTTGAGGTCATCCTGGGCAACTTAGCAATACCCTGTCTTGAATTTTTCAAATTTTAGAAAAGGAGCTGGAGATGTAGTTCAGTGTTAAAGTGCTTACCTCATATGTGGGGAGGCCTGGGTTAAATCCCCAAGACTGAAAAAACCTCACTATGAAGGTAAGTTCCATAGCAGAGCAAGATTTCTAGAAAATATACACTGTATTCTATAAGAGGAGAATAAACTGGCTCCCCCCAAAAGAGCAGATGATACATTTTTTAAATTTGCAAACTGCCTTCAATAGCTGTGAGAGATCAGTTTAGAACATAAATACTTTATTTATAGTCTAAAATGGAAAGTAAATTTGACATAAAAATCACCTCCCTATTTTTACTTTTAGTCAGGTCAGAAGTTAGGGGAAAATGACATTATCAACAATTTCATGCACTTTTACAACTTCTTGAGAAGTATAAATGATCTCTTCATTAAATGGAGAATTTTCCTTTTTCTGACTTTTGAAAATATTGAAAATAATTTTGAGGGCCGGGGATTTAGCTCAGTGGTTTCGCCACCTGCTGCGCAAGTGCAAGGACCCAAGTTCTATCCCCAGTACCAAAAAAAGAAAAAGAAAAAAAAGAAAAGAATTTTGACTTTTAACATAAAGAAAAGTAAAAAAGAGAAACTAAATCTCTCATTACTCAGAGTAACTTTTTTCTTTAATTTTCCTCCAGAATTTTATCTCTACATCCAGCCTTTTTACACCTTAAGATTATGCTATAAATAACTCTTCATGTCCTGCCTCTTTCTCCAAACTCTGTGACATAAATCTTTTCCCATGCTTTAGGAATTCAGATAACTGAGACATTTTTCAATAAACCTGAATCACAATACATTTGTGATTACACATTGAATTTATGTATAAATGTGATTTAAATATATCAGCAGTGGGATTGAAATATAAAAGAATGGGATTTTTTTAGAAAAAAACTTATTACTAATATCTCAAATGCAGAACAGATTAATTCGTTTAAAAAAGCCATTCTTCAAACCTTAGGCTTTCTTATTCAGTCAGATCATCTGTATTTCATCAGCTACACATCGCATGGTATTTACACCTACACATCACTTTATTTGCTTTGCCTGACAAAATGAAAAGTATTGGGAATTGTTCAGGGAAATATGCCAAAAGAATCTTTGGGGCTCTTGAGTTTTACATATTTTCCCAGTTACACTAATGAAAAGGAATTTTGTTTGAGAGCTTGACCCGGAGTGCAGCTGCAGGGCATTTGAATGTATACTCAGTCTCTATTGGGCCTTCACTGATTTCCATGCAGAAGGCTCTAGAATTTCTGTGAATTGTTTGAACAGAGCAATTGAAAAAGAAGCCTAACCTGGTCTGTGACCACACTGAATTTCATGTTAAAGAAAAATTAAGATCATTCACATCACTTCATTTTTTTCCCCCCACAGAGTGCCAAATGCTTGATATTTTAAAAATGTTCCACCACCTTATTTTGATAGAACATTAACCATCACTGAGCTTTCTAACATTTTCCCCTTCTACCTAAGATAACTATTTAAATATGTGTTTTTATTTGTACAATTTGTGGAATAGAACAAAGGTATTGAGAAGAAACCAGGGCCTTTGAACTATTTCCTTTGCTCAAATGTAATGAGAAACACAACCAAATGGGCTAGAGGGTTTATTGTTACATAATAAAAGGCTTTTACAAACCTTCCAAATCATAAAGATGCCTGGGATGATGAATGATATATATTCACACGCTGTTTGAGCATATAGTTTTGGAGTTCATGGTTAGGCCATGGCTAGTACCAATAATACTGTTCAACAAGACTTCAAAATTTTACCACCTTTCTCTGTATAAGCAATCTTTTTGACCTTCAAGTGGATGATAAAGTTCTTTCAGATTGTGTCCAAATTCTCACAGAGCACTTTGCCACAGGGCATTTTCACTGTAGTTGACGGTAAATAATGTTTATTAGGAAAAGGTATCCTTACAGCATCTACTGTTTTTTTGCTTGTCTGTGCCCTGAACCGATGACAGGAGTGCAAGGAGGCTGCGCATTGTCCTTCACTTCAGGAAGCTAGTGGCCAGCAGACGACACAGACGTGGCAGAACCTTTCTTATGGTGCCATCTGAAAAGACACATAAAGATCACATAATAAATGCAGTGGGATGGATATCAGAAAGGGGCCCCATACATGTGCTTAGACAGTGAGGAAGTAAATAAACAAAAATCACAGATCCCTCCCCATAAACTAAGTTTTCATAGAAGCAGAAATTAGAGTTAATTTGCTGCTTGTTTGTTTTTCTTTCAATCAACTTGATGATTTAGAATCTGAATTGAGGATACTGGGGAAAGAATTAAACCAAATTTTGATATCAAGTTCAGGGATGAGGTGAAATGAATTTTTTTATTTTAGCTCTCCTTTTATTGCTCTCAGTAAATACTTCCTACTTTCTGATTTTCCTGAATTGTATTTATTGGCAGCAAGCTGAGCAGTCCTGTGTTTCTAATTAAGAATTGGATGGCTTGCTGAAGTGCTGTGGAGGTCATCGTAGGGCGTGGCCGCTGAGCTAGCCTGTCCTTGGGAATGAAAATGTAATCGCCTATCTGACTTGGTCCAAGTAAACCACTGTTCCTTTGCAAACAATACGTGCTTACTAGGATAGTGAAACTATACTGTGTGTGAGACTATATCTTTTTTCATGAGATTGTGATGCTTGTTGGCTTTTAAGTGCTTTTGTTTGTGCTTCATCTAAAAAAGTAGAAAGTTGACACAAAGTATAAACATCTTTGTATAACTTTGCATCTTCTGGTTGACCCTTGCTCTGTACGGTGCTGTGCAGACAGATGAAGAGGCGACTGATAAGCCACTGGCCTGTGACTTGGGAGTGAGAGGTTCATTTTGCCAAACAGTATTCAGGATGGCTCACCACCCATCTGTACCGCAGTGACCACCAGTGACCTCCGCACCAATGCACCCTCCTTGGTCCTCACCCTGCTTCAGACCTCAGTGGCCTGTGACTCCTGTCATCTAAGCCATCTCTAAGTGGCCTCTTCACTGGCCTTCTCTGTTGTTCTCTTCCTTTATACTACCCCTTTCAGCTCCCTTTTGGTCTCTTCTGACTGTAATCCCAGGCACTCAGAAGGCTGAGGCAGGAGGATCCAAAGTTCAAGGCCAGCCTGTGCAATTTAGCAAGAACTTGTCTCAAAATAAAAAGGGCTGGGCCTGTAACTCAGTGTGAAGGCCCCTAGGTTCAATTACCAATACTGCTTGTACAAAAAAAAGAAAAAACAAATGTACTATTCTGACCTTACCCCTTTGCTTACTTTGTTCACTCTCTAGAGGATCTTATGCATTCCATACTTCAAATTACTAATTGTAGTTACTACATTTTCAACTGTAGAAATAACCTAGTGAAATCAGGAAGTTGGATGGCTTGCCTGTGTTTCATGCCCAGCTCTACTGCTTACTAGTTGCCAGACTTGGGGCAAATTACTTAAATTCTCTGTGCCTCAGTTTCCTCATCTATCAAATTGAGGATTCAAATGAATTCAAATAAATACAAAGCATTGTGCCTTGCCTTTTCACTGCCCCTGACCCACTCTTGGTTTTATCTGGCTAACTTATTCATTTGTCAGGTCTCTGCTTCGATGTTACTGCCTGTGGGAAGCCTTTTCTGATGTTCAAAATCTCTGTGCTCTACGAACAGCCTAACTGCCCTACCTCTGCATCTTGCTGAGTTATCTGTATCTCCCATTAGCCAGAAGCCCTGGGAGGACAGAGGTGGAATCTGACTTGATCGTCACTGTGACCCAGGGTCTGGCAGAGTGCCTGACTCATGGAAGTACTTAAACATTGGCTGCATGAATGATGGATCGTGGTGGAGAGGAGGGCATCTGAGAGCCGGGGACAATGATCTAAAGGCATTACCTCCTCTTTGTGTTCACATCCCTAGGTTTTGTAGGTCAGAAAACCTCATCATCAGATTTAGTGAGGTTGAACATCCTAGATATCCTGATTCATATGATGTGTAACTCATAGAAAACCAATTTATACGCTCAAATGACAATATTTTCAAATTTTTAGTAATTTTTACAATATGCCTCAGAACAGTTTTATATGGGGCCTTACTTGTGAATGTAGTAATTTCTTTCCGATCACTTAATACCCTGATGAGGCTATGAATATGCAAATGTCTTTGTAGGGGGTCATCAAAATAAGCTTCTTCAGAGCAGGGGCCTCCTTAGTGTGGATATTTGAAGGGCTGTTGCATGGAAAGTGTCTAAGCTCGATGTACAGGACTCTAAGAGATAGGAAGCTACAGGAAGAGAGCTGTCTCTTTCAGAACAAAGAAGCTTCTAACTGTAAAAACTGGGTCACCCAGGAGGTTATGGGCTTCTGCCATTGTCTGTGTTCAGCATGGTGGGGTTAAGTCCTGGGCCAGGACATCGTTCCGGAAGGAGACTGATGAGTGAGGGCTTTAGGGCCGCTCCTGATCCTGAGAACCTGTCCCTGTGTCACTCAGGGACCCTTGAGCTAGGTCTTGTGTCCACTGTGTGGCCCCAGAAATGTCTCTGGAAGGAAGAATGCCAAGTTAGCCACCAGCAAGAGGTGACAGCAGCTTAGTTATTGAAACCACCTTGATGAATGTTCTATGTCATTTCTTGAAATAGATGTTACTAGCACCAGTGCCCAGTGACTTTCCTTTTTTGGCCTCTTGGTCTTGTTCCTTTTTTGTGTCCCTATGTTGAGTTTGCCTTAAGCATGGCAAACTGAATGATCAGGGTAGATTGTAGTGGTTCATGAAACTGCATTATTGACTGGATTTGGAAATGACTTGTTTTCTACCAACATCCTGATTTGGCTCTGGGATCTTAGGCTGGTTTTGCATAGGTTGTCTTGGAAATATGATTAAATGCACTTCTCCCTATAATTCAGGATCACGCCCACCCCTCTTGGAGAAGGGAAGAGCACAGTCACCATTGGGCTGGTACAAGCGCTGACTGCCCACCTGAATGTCAACTCCTTCGCCTGCCTGAGGCAGCCTTCCCAAGGGCCGACTTTTGGAGTGAAAGGTACTTTGTTTAGCCATTAATACATTTTTGAGAGCAGAATTATGGGGGAGAAAAGTTTTAAGAGAATGCCACCTACAGTTAAAACTTTTCAGAACTGGTACATTTCATCCCTGCATACCCACACACACACACACATCTTACATAGTCAGTACACAGTGGTCACCCCAGGTTGGTCCTTCAGGCACAAAGACATACAGAGCAGCTGCAGGGTACGAGTCTTCAGTGGAGCCCCCAGGAAACCCATTCTCTTGACTCGGTTCCTCTGGCCTCCCGCCTAAGGTGGAGTCTTTGGTCTCATCTATGCCTCCTGTGCCAAGCAATTTTGAAACCCTGCTAGTCATGTGGGTGTTTTACAATCCCAGCCATGGTGAAAGATCTCTCCTAAACCCCGAGATGGCCTGTAGGTCGGGCCCCAGTGCTCAACCACAGGAGTTGCTTCGTGGGGCCTGAGGCGCTTTGGAGATGACCCAGCTGTGCACAGAGCTGGAGGGAAATTTCTCTGGCTGTGGCTGGGGTGATGTTTGGCACCTTCCCATTCATTACTCCTTCACTAATTTATCATGAAGTCTCCTGAGCTCACTAACTCTAGCACTTATTGCTGTAATTACTGTGTGTTCTTGGCATTTTGTATTTTTTAACCGTATTATATTTATATTACTGTTATAAATATGAATAACTCCTAACTCATTAAGTACTGATAGCTCATAGAAGGTCATAATTATCTAGTGGGATGAACATTAGACTTGGAGTGAGAAGGCTGAGATTTTATTCTCAGCTGTGCCTTACTGTTGTGTGACCTGTAGCCAGCCATAACCCCTCTGAGCCACATCTGTAAAAGGGTAGAAAAGCTTAAGATACCAGGCTCACCTGGTTGTGAGGCTCAACTGAGATAGCACAGAAGAACATGGTGAACTATAAAATGATGTGGACATAGGTGAGATGGGTCTTTTTCATGTAACAACTAATGTTTCAAGGGAGACGCAGCATGACAAATCTTCACTAGTATTAGCTGAAATAAATTGGCTGAAGTTCATAATTTATGGTTCTGAGGTTTTTGCAGGTGTTTTTTTTAAACAAAGTTTTTTGATACTTCCATGTGTATATGATCTATCTAGATAAAGCATAGCCACATAGATCCACTAGTAAATTAATAAAATGATGTCATATCCTGAGATCTGTTTTACAGTAATGACATTTGCTATACTTTTTTTAACCTTTGTTTTCTAAATAAAGAAATGAAAATCTTTAAATTGCATATGTGGATGCAGCGTGAGCTTTGGTTTATTCTGCTTCTGCTCTACTTTGACAGACTAGCTAATGTTTCTCACTCGTTATTTTACCCCCCTCTTGGGTTTGGGGAGCTGTGTCCCTAGGGATCTATCCTGTGTCCTGTGTACTTAATGACTCACTTCAAATGCCACTTGCTCTGTTTAGGAGGAGCTGCGGGAGGCGGATATGCCCAGGTCATCCCCATGGAAGAGGTAAGGCCACGAGGTACATACGTGAATCACTGTGCTCCCCTCCCGACGCCTGTGACTCTGCCCCTAGAAAGGCAGCCACAGTCTTCCTCCATAGTCCCAAAGTCCCAGTGACTCAAAAAAACCAAAAGCACCTGTATGACTCACTCGTGCAGTGGCAGAACTTGATGACTTTTGAGAACTTGGTATAGATTTTATATGTGCCGCTTGGTGTGAATGTTCATATATTTTTCTATCTATGGTTGCTACATATGGATCTTATATAAGTGCTGATGAAGCCACTTGTCAGTGTTTTATAAATAAATGATGCACACATCATATTACCTTTCTAAATTCCAAAAAATTGTGCATCCTAAAACCCTTGTGAATCCCAGAGCTCCACAAGAGGCAAGAGAATGTTCATAGTCTCTTAGTCATCTGCTATGCTCCCAAACTTAGGAAGACTTAGATACTTCATGTCTATAAATTGTGACTCCAGATTAGGGCTGGTAGTGTAGCTCTGCAGTAGAATACTTGCTTACTTAGCAAGCCTGAGAGCCTGGCCAGGTTTAATTGCTAGCACTGCAAGAATAAACAAAAAGACTCCAAAATAAAATGGTTTCAGAGAAAATGGGCAAAAAGAGCCAATGGTATCAATTCTTCATTCTCTGAGAATTTTTTGTTTTCATCCTACATAAGCTTTCCTTTGTCCCTATGTCTCACCATTGACCGGTTCTCATCTGTTCTGCTCTCCGTGTGGGCCTTGTGGTCAGGTCCTGAGCAGTCTTCCTAATCCCTCATCTGAGCAGGTTTTCCCCATCAATCTCCATGGCATGAGAGGCCTCTGAGGCCCCCTGCTTCTGCTTCATCTCTGCAGGTTCCCACCTGCCTCTCTCTGCCGCCTGTACCAAATTCCTTGTAGATTCTTGTGCTCTTGTCTCTCACTGTTATTTAATTAATTAGTTTGTTTGTTTGAGGGATGCAGGGGGTTGAACCCAGGGCCTTGTGAATGCTGAACACACACTCCCCCAGCCCCTGTCTTCTCAGTTCCTTGTCTTTCTCATGCCTGGAGCATCTTTCCCAACCCTTTCTGCCCTCACTACCCAGCTTAGCCTCTGTTCTCAAGGTTCTGTTCCATCACACAAATTCTCCCCCACACTCTGTGTTCCTGGCCATCAGATTCAGCCTCATGATGTGTTGGAGACCTCTCTCAAGGCCCCAGGTCCCAGCACTTAGCAGAGTGCTGGCACAGAGTGGGTGCTCAGTAAGAAAGATTTGTTGACATTGTTGGAGTAGGAGAAGTGGTTACTCGTGGAGCCCTGAGTATCAGGGATGCTAAAGAGACACTTTGGATAAGCCTCTGAGGGGCACAAAGAGTGGTCCACAGCACTGCTGAGAACAGTGTAAGCCTCGTGTCTACATGGGGGTGATCAGTCCCATTCATAGGCCAGGAAGATACAGAACTGAGGCCAGGTTGGGGACGGAGTACATGGAGCATGCCCAGGGGAGCTGCTCTAGATTTATCCAGTAAATAAGGAAAGCACAGTGCAGTGTCCCTGTATTTTAGGGCACCTGCTCTATGGCTCAGAGTACACAGGCAGGGAGATCGTCCCTTAAAGGTGAACACCTCAGGGTCTTCTCTGGGTTCCCCACTCTGAGCTCAGTGCTCAGCATTTAGTGGGTGTTTGTTGCCTGAGTGCCATGCATAGGTAATGTGTACTTTAAGAAATTTCGTAAGTAGTCATAGGGGAAAGGTTAGAATAAATTCCAGGTGGACTGAGAAATTGAAATCTTGAAAGATAAGGAGCCAGCCTTGTGAAGAACGAACGAAGGTGTTCAAGGCAGTGGGACCTCTGCTGGGAAAGCCCTGAGTCAGGGGAGGGCTTGGCCTGAGCAGGGAACTGGAGAACACCAGTGTGGCCAGGGCCTAGCAGCCAGGGGTGGGTGAGATGAGGTGGAAGGGTGAGGACATGCCAGCCCTCATAGTTCATGGCCAAGAGGCTGGGTTTTAAGTGCCATGGTCAGCCTTGCAGGGATCTTGACAAGATAGTGAAGCAGTGTGGATTAGATTTTCCAAAAATCACTCTGGTCTCTGTGTGAGAAGTAGATGATGGAAGCTCAGTATGGAAGCTAGTATCCCAGGGAAGAGGCTGTGGGGTAACTCAGGGGAGAGCTTGGCTCAGCATGGTGGTGGAAGGATGGAGAAAGGATGGCAATGTAAGCTTTGTTTACCAATGTTTGTGAGTTAGATGTTAGGGGAAGATTCAAGGATGACATCCAGGGTACTGGATTGGGCAGACCAGTGGAGAACTAGGGAAGTGACAGGTGTGAGGTTGAACTAGGGTGGTGTGGCATGTGGTGAAGCTTTGAGGTCTCAAGGGAAGAGTCCTCTTTGGGGCCTGTGAGATGCCCAAGAGAATATAAAGTAGACAGCTAGAAATAAAGACTTGAATTCCAATTGTAAAATGGCCAAATAGAAAATCAGGAAAGAAATAGTGGCTAATCAAAGAATGCTCATCTTCACTAATAAGCAAAGAGATCTATGTTAAAACTACAATCAGTTATATTTTACCTGTCAAGTTGACAGATGGAGGTTTTTAAAAATAGTAATAATACCAAATTTTGGCAGAGATGGATTGAAATACAGTCTCAGGCACTGCTAGGAAGTATGTTAAAATTTCTGGAATAAATCTGGAAATATGTCATTTACCTTAATAACATTCATGTTCTTTAGCCCAAATGAGTTTATTTTTAGATTTATCCCAAGAAGGAATTGGATGTACATGTATAGATTTAATTTTAAAACTATATTTCCAAATAAAGTAACTTTAAAAAATTAGAAAAAACTCTAATTGGAAGATATCAAATTAACTGTATCTTGAAAATTATTTTATAAAAATGCTCATAATGTTAAGTATAGAAGATAAAGTCTGTTATGGTGTTATGATCCTAATATTGAAAATTAAAAGTCCTTCCCTCTTTTGGGACAGAGTCTCACTATTTAGCCCAGTCTATCCTCAAACTTTCAGCTGTCCTCATGCTTCAGCTACCCAAGTGTTGGGGTTACAGGCATGGATCACCTCACCTGGCTAAACTTTTTTTTTTCCCTGTACTAAGATTGAACCCAGGGCCTTGGGCATGCTAGACAAGCAATCTACCACTGAGCTAAAAATCTATTTTATAAAATATACATACATATATAATTTTTCATATTTTCCATAGTGAATATATTTTTATCTGTTATAAAAATTTAAAATTTTAAATTAATGCATATAAGTAATACATAACAGCAGTTCTATTTTAGTATATGTGCTGCCAAAGTGAGCACTTTTCCTTTTGGGAAATTGGTACATGCATATAATGTGTCTTGATCATTTTCAATCCTGTTACCCTCCTCTCCCCGCCCCCCATTCCCCCTTCCCATCTCCGAAATTTTACCCTCTAGTTTGCTGTCATCTTTTTATTTTATTTTATTTTATTTCATTTTATTAATGTTTCTCACATAAGAGAAACATGGATATATAACTTTCTGAGTCTGGTCTTCAGTGTAATGGCTTTCAGTTCCATCCATTTTCCTGCACATGACATGATTCCATTCTTCTTTAGCTGAATTATATTCTGTTGTGAATATATACCACATTTTCGTTTTCTGTTTATCCATTAATGGGCATCTACACTGATTCCACAGCTTAGCTATTGTAATTTGTACTTCTATAAATTGGGAATGGATACACAGTATTACTGTAGTAAGATGTCTTTTTTTGCAAATATACTCTGAAGTGGTATAACTGGATCAAATGGTAGTTCTATTTTAAGTTTTTTGAGGTCTCCATACTGATTATCAGTTGGTTGTACTAGTTTACATTCCCACCAACAGTGTAGGAGGATTCCTTTTTTCCCACATCTTTGTCAACATTTATTTTTTTTTTTTTTGTATTCTTAATGACAGCCATTCTGGAGTAATTTTGATTTGTATTTCCCTAATGCCTAAACATCTTAAATACTTTTTTCATGTCTTATTGGCCATTTATACTTCTTTATGGTAAGTATCTGTCCAGCTTATTTACCCATGTTTGATTGAGTTGTTGGGGGGGTTAATTTTTTTTTAAGTTCTTTAACTATTCTAGATATAAACCTTCTGTCAGACAAGTAGCTAGCAGAGATTTTCTCCCATTCAGTAAGTGGTCTCTTCACTTGTTTCCTTTGCTATGCAGAAGCTTTTGAATTTCATATAGTCTGTAATTGTCATTGTAGGTCTTTCACCTCCTTGGTTAGGTTAATACCTATGTATTTTTTAAGGTATTGAATGAAATTATGTTCCTGATTTCTTTTTTAGTAGGTTCATTAATAGTGTCCAGAAATACTATTGATTTTTTTAATGTTGATTTTTCTAACTTGCCACTTTGCTGAATTTGTGTCTAAGAGTCTTCTGGTGGAGTTCTTTGGGTCGTCTATGTAAAGACTCATATCATCCACAGATAGGGATAATTTTATTTCTTCCTTTTTTATTTGTACCTCTTATTTCTTTCTCTTATGTGATTGCTCTGGGTAAAGTTTCAAGTACTATACTAAACAGGAGTGATGAGAGTGGACACCCTTGTCTCATTCCTGATTTCAGAGGAAATACTTTGAAATTTTACTGGTTCAGTAAGATGTTGGTGGTGAATTTTTTATATATGGCTTTTTTCAATTTGAGGAAAGATTCTTATAGCCCTGTTTTCTTCAGGGTTTTTATCACAAAGAGATACTGGATTTCATTAAAGGCTTTTTCAGCATGTGATTTATATCCTTGATTCTATTTATGTGGTATATTACATTTATTTATCTGTGTGTATTGAACCATCCTTGCATCCGTAGGATGAAATCAACTTGGTTATAGTGTATTTTTTTTATTGTGTTGTTGAATTCTGTTTGCAAGAAGGATGTTTATATTTGTAAACATATACCACTGTTGTTTCTGTTTTCTGGTTTTGTTATCAAGTAATGCTTGCTTTGCAGAATGGATTTGGAAGCATTCTTTCTCT